TTTTTTTTTTTTTTTTGAGAGGTTTTTGCTATAGGGCACATGCGTTCACCAGAAAGACAGAGTCAGAGAGACAGAAAGCGAGAAATCACTCCCCAGGGGGGATGGCCATGCCACAATCCCTTCCCCTCCATTCTCCTCTCGGGATCTTGGGCACGCACGCACACGCGCCCGGCATGAGTTTAAGCCACTGGGTCCAGGACTCGAACCACAGTCGACTACATGGAAATCCAGTGACATAACCTTTATGCTATCTGCTTAATGACTTCAATCTTTTAAAATTTATTGAGGTTTGGGAATAGCAGATGGCATAATGATTATGATGTTGGATTCCCACATGACTGACCACAGTTTGAGTCCTGGACCCAGATGCTTGAAATTCACACTGGCTGCATGTGTGTGCATGCCCAAAATCCCAAGAGGAGAATGGAGAAGGGACTGTGGCATGGCCATTCCCCCGGGGGGTTATTTCTTGCTTTCTCTCTGTCTTTCCAGTGAACATACACGCCTTATAGCAAAAATCTCTCTCTAAAAAAAAACTATTGAGGTTTGTTTTCTGGTCTAACATACAATCTATCCTGGAGAATGCTCCATGTGCACCTGAGAATATTTATTCTACTATTGTAGGTAGAATGTTCTGTGTCTGTCTATTAAGGCTAATTGGTTTAAAGTGTTGCTCAAGTCCATTACTACTTTAATGATTTTTATCTAGTTGTTCTTTCCATGATTAAAAGTGGGGTACTGAAATCTCTATTTTGTGGAATTGTCTATTTCTGACTTCAACCCTGTTCATTTTTGATTCACATTTCTGGGGTTCTTTTGTTAGGTACATACATGTTCATAATTTTTAAATCTTCTCCTAGAACTTGCATCAATGTATAATATCCTTTGTCTCTTGTAACTTTTTCAAATTTAATTTAATTGCCAGAGGGCACATGTACTCATGAGAAAGAGAAGAGGGAGAAAGAAAGCATCTCCTCCAATAGAATGTAGTCATGCCACAATCTGTTTTCTGTCTCTTCATCCTGCTGGGATTTAGGGCGTGTACACACTCATGTGTGGCATCTTTTGCAAGCTGCCAGGGCCAGGTTTCAAACTATGGTCAGATACATGGGATCTGGCCTCCTTTAACTATGAGGCTACAGGACTGGCCCTCCTGAAACCTTTTTTGATTTAAGTCAGTTTTGTCTGATATTAATATAGCTACCCCACCTCTATTTTGGTAATCATTTGCATGGAATATCTTGTTTGTTAGACCAGCAACAGAGAAAGAAAGAAAGCGAAAGAAAGCATCCTGCAATGGGGCATGGTCATGCTACATGCTCCTTGCCTCCATTCCTCCACCTTGTCAGGATTTTGGGGCATACATACTAATGCATATTTTTTCTAGCTGCCAGAGTCAGGATTCAAGCCATGGTTGGCCAGGTGGGGTCTGGCTCCCTTAACTACAAGGTCACAGTGTTGGTCCAGCATGAAATATTTTTCCATTCTTTTTTTTCAATTTCTTTGGTTTGTCTTTTTTTTTCTTTTTTTAAATATATATGTAATTATAGGTTTTTTCAAAGAATTATTTTATTGGGAATCAGCAGTTAGCGTAATGGCTATATCGCTGGACTCCCACGTAGTCGACCGCAGTTCGCGTCCCGGACCCGGTGGCTTGAAACTCACGCTGGGCATGTGTGCGTGCGTGCCCAAGATCCCGGGAGGAGAATGGAGGAGAAGGGATTGCGGGGTGACCATCCCCTCTGGGGGGTGATTTCTCGCTTTCTGTCTCTATGTCTCTCTCTGTCTGTCGGGTGAGCGCACGCGCCCTATAGCAAAAAAAAAAAACCTCTTCAAAGAATTATTTTATTTAACTTTATTTATTATTATTATCATTATTATTTTCTAGTTTGATCAGAGAGAGACAGAGAGAGAGAACGAGGAAGTGAGAAAGCAAGTCACCAGGACCAAGACTTGAACCGTGGTTGGCCAGGTGGGAGTCCAGTGTCATCAACCACCACGCCACCTGGCAGCCCCGGTTTGTCTTTGTTATTGACAGAACATATATTCATATAAGAGAAAAGGATGGTGGGAACCAGCAGTTAGCATAATGGCTATGTTGCTGGACTCCCACGTAGTCGACCGCGGTTTGCGTCCGGACCTGGTGGCTTAAAACTCACACCAGGCGCATGTGCATGCGTGCCCAAGATCCCGAGAGGAGAATGGAGGAGAAGGGATTGCGGCATGACCATCCCCGCTAGGGGGTGATTTCTCACTTTCTGTCTCTATGTCTCTGTCTGGCGAGCGCTCGCGCAATATAGCGAAAATCTCTCCCCCCCCAAAAAAAATAAATAAATAAAATCAGAGAAGAGGATGGTGAGAGAGGGAAACACCCTCAACAGAATCTTGTCACACTACAATCCTCTTTCCCAGTCCTTCTGCTCCTCAGGATCCTGGACACCCACACATGTGCCCAGCATGTTTTCAAGCTGACCCAAAGATTTCAACCCAAAATGAGCCACATGGCATCTACCCTTGCAAGGTACTTACATTATCACTATGCTACGGTTGCTGGGCCCTTTCGATATTCTTTGTATGTTTATATCTAAAGACAGCATATCGGTGGATCATGGATTTTTAAAATCCAATCTGCTTAGCTCTGCCTTTTAAGAGGAGAATTTAATCAATTTATATTTAAAGTAATTGTAGTAAGAAATTTACTTGATATTTCGCTATTTTTTTCTGTAAGTCATATTTTTTCTCTAATTTCCTCTGTTACTGCTTTCTTTCTGTATTTAGATTAGTGAAATCTAAGTTAATTAGAGATTAATTAAGATTCATCAGAGGTTTAGTTTTCTCAGTCAAGATCGTCCCTTCTTCCAATTGAACAGTTCCTAATAAATATCTTCCTCATAAGTTTCCCTCACAATGTCTAGAAGGGAGGACCTACCTTTCCCTAGTCATGAAAGTAATCTCATGTTTGTCCTTTTCACCCTCTTAATTACCTGTGTCATAGAAAGACAGAGAGACACATGTACCCCATATACTATTCATCATCCATACATAAAGTTCACTTTTATACTGTCTTCCTCTACCTACGTGTGGCCTATATTGGGCTGGACACTGAACCCTTAGGAAGGGTCTCAGAATGGCTGACAAAGAAGTAAGAGGTCAAGTGGCTTACATTGTAGGAGCGGGGATGCCTCTGCTTCCATTGCACCAGGAGCAGCTGGGCCACCACCAAGGTAGCGATGAGGATGAGGACCATTTCAGCGTGCATGGCTTCGTGGCCACGATGCTTGGCATGCATGCGTGCGTGCTCGACCCTGAAAGCCAAACAGATGGGGTGAGTCAAGTCGAGGATGGTGCAGTGTTAAAAAGGCAGTGCTTTCCGGGCCATCCCACCAGTTCATAACTCAGGACACACTCCTATGCTTCGCAGTTGCAGGTTAGCAAGCAAATTAGGGGCAGGACATACCCGTACAAGACAGGCATTTGGGGATAAAATAGAGGTTCTATGAGACCCAACAATGAAGCACAGCTATTGGGATTAGAGGTTGGGGTCTACTGCCTGCCCTCTGGAGAGGAAAGAGCGGACATCTTTCTTGTAGGAAGAAGGAGGCCCCAAGAGAAGACTACCATTGTTTCAGAGTTATTTCAACCTGTCATTGGAAGAAGAAAGTAACCCAGACAATTTAGCCACGAAGTCTTATACTCTTAGTCAGTGACATTTAATAACACTGCAAAAAATAACACTGCAAATGTGTGCCGATTCCAGGGTTAAGGTAATGCTTTTTTCCATCCTCGCCTCTCTGCCAGGGTCAGAGATCCTTAGGACTAAAGCCTAAAACTCTGCACTACTTCAACTTTATACTAATCCAGCAGTGACCTCACCAGCGTCACAGGTAAACAGTCCGTCATGGGCTTGAAGAAGTTCAGTTTTTAGAACACAGCTGGAAAATTTTTATTAATGTAGGGATGGCCTTCTCGGGTCTTGAGGGCTGGCAGCAAGTGATTCCCTTGGCCAATACTGGTAGAACGTTTCCTCTGAGAACACTTATTCCAACCTCTCTAGGCCAGAGTTGTCCAAGGAAGAGGAATGAAGAAGTTAGAAAGAAAACTGAATGCAAACGTAGCTTGCAGTCAGGAGTCTCATGTAAGTTCTCCACACACTGGGGTAGGGAGCGAGAGAATGGACAACAAGGGTGTCTTCATGGAATTCTCAAGGGCAATGAAAGACTAACAGCAAAAATAACCCAGTGGGATAACCTATGTGCAGATAAGTAATAAAGCATATGTACCAAAAAGTTAATTGCGGAATGTAGGTGATGAGAATAAGGGTGTTCACTATACAGTTCTTTCGACTTTTCTACAGGTTTAAAAGTTTACCAGATAAAATGTTAAAGGGGAAAATTTGGTGGCAGAGTGGTCAGTCAAATGCCAATTAGTCAGTTAGCCTCAAGCACCTAAGGGTTCATCTTCCATATAACACTCTATCCTGGGTGGGAGAATGTGACAAAAAAGAAAATAGGATTGGGAGTCAGAAACTTAGGTTCAGACCCACCTATGTGGCCTTTGCCAAGATACTTCATTATCTCTACTCTATAATTTCTTTATCCATCAAAAAGAGTCCACATCTTTTCTTCTGCCTCATAGAATTGGTGTAAGGACAAGCTAAACTAAGAGGGTAGAGAACACTTTAAAAAAAAAAAAAGAAAAAAGAGGGGACCAGCAGACGGTGTAATGGTTATGTTGCTAGACTCCCATGTAGTTGACTGTGGTTCGAGTCCCAGACTCAGCAGCTTAAAACTCATATTGGGCGCATGTGTATGCATGCCCAAGATCCCAAGAGGAGAAGGGATTGCGGTGTGGCCATACATCCTGTGTGTGTAGTGGGGTGATTTCTCGCTTTCTGTGTCTCTCTGTTTAACCATCAAGTACAAATGCCTTATAGCAAAAATATCTAAAAAAAAAAAAAAAAAAAAAAAAAAAAAGAAACAAAGGAAGGGAGAAAGGAA